AATAGCATCAAAACACATCCTAAAACATTCTGGACTTTCGTCAAAGCCATTCGGGGTGGGTCAGGTTACCCTAAGAAAATGTCTTTGAAAGATATAGAGTACACCGATGGTATAGACATATGCAATGCTTTCAACTCATTCTTCAAGAGTGTATTTGGTATTCCTAGTAATAACTACATACATCCACATACGGAATCGTTGTGTACTGACACCGTTTCTAATGTACAGACAAACGCTGCAATAATTGAAAAAATGTTGAAAACTTTGGACACGAACAAAGGTGCCGGTAGTGATGGGTTACCTTCTTTTTTTTGGTCACGATGCGCTAAATCACTTGCTCTCCCCTTGACTATTATATTTAATCGCTCTCTACGTGAAGGGATATTTCCGCATCAATGGAAGTGTGCACACATAATCCCTGTACACAAGAAGGGATCACGTACAGAAATAAATAATTATAGAGGCATTTCTATTTTGAACACCGCGGCTAAAATCCTTGAACGAGTAGTATATAACGTAATTTACTCCACGCTTTCACGTGCCTTCTTCCCTGAGCAGCAACATGGTTTTTTACAAAGGCGATCCACCACTACGAACCTGGCAAGTTTTTCTTCTTTTGTCCTTGAAAATATGGATCAAGGTGGGCAGGTTGATGTGATCTACACTGATTTTGAAAAAGCTTTCGATCGTGTGGATCACATGATCCTGCTCAACAAATTACAAATATTAGGGATTCACGGTGACTTGCTCCGATGGACTGAATCATATCTCACAAACCGCTCACAAGCAGTCGTGATAGGTGGTTTCCGTTCGAGCTACATAAACATACCTACAGGTGTTCCTCAGGGCTCTCACTTAGGTCCACTTTTTTACAATGCCTACCTATATGACATTGGTTCGTGCATTATACATACAAATTACCTCATGTATGCAGATGATAAGAAGATTTTTTGTAAAATTAACACCATACATGACTGCCTTTTGATACAAAAAGACCTGGACCGTTTATTTGAATATTACAAAATAAATAATATAACTGTCAATGCAAGCAAGTGCGAATGTATTAGTTTTACACGGAAATCTAAGCCAATTCTAAATAAATATCACTTTGACGGATTAGAAATCAGCCGAAAAGTAAGTGTTAGGGATTTAGGCGTAATTTTTGATCATAAAATGATACTATCCGAACACATTGATTACGTTATCAGTAAAGCCTATAAAAATCTTGGTTTTGTTCTTCGCATCTGTAAACCATTCTCGAATATTAATACAATTAAAATGGTTTATTTTGCATATGTCAGAAGTGTTTTGGAATATGCTAGTTCAATATGGTCTCCACAGTACAATGTCTACAAAAGCCGCCTTGAGCGTATTCAAAAAATATTTGTTAATCACCTTAACTTTCGCTGTCGGAATAAAATCGATACTTACACAGACAGTTGCACTGAGCACGATCTCTTATCTCTGGAACACAGGCGCATTTTGCTTGACATGGCTTTGTTATATGATATAATAAACAGTAATATTGACTGTCCATATCTTGTCTCAAGAATCACCTTTCGTACTCCAAAATTCCGTACCCGCAATACTACATTGTTACAAACTCCCTGGCATCATTCAAACTACTGTCGAAACACTGTTCTTTCGCGGCTTGCTCGTACATATAATGAACAATTTGGACACATTGACCTCTTTGCGAAATCTAAACTTACGTTTAAAAATTACATCAAGAAAGCTATTACGAAATAGAGCAGTTGAAGTTAAAATCACATACAATCATATATTCTCTCATCTATTTCTTCTATATGTATTTTTGAGGCTACTAATATAAATATAAGTACTTAAGTTATTTTATTTAATATATATTATAATTAATTATTTGTATTATGTTTATATATTTAAACATTTAATATGTATATATACATAAGTAAATATATATGTATGTATATATATATATATATATATATATCTTATATGTTTATATATATATATATATATATATATATATATATATTTATATATATATAAAGGTAATGTAATATATCATTCTACCTGACTATCTCTCCTGATCTGTAAACTTATGACCACCTTCATTACATTGAATTGCTTATAATTTTGCTTATAATTTATCTATTAGATTGTTCTTTTTCCTTTTCTTCTAACAACAATACACCTACCATCAAACAATATAAGGGAAACCTGTTATTGGCCATACTTTTAGTTTGTTACATTAATGTTAATATTTTCTATATACGCTGTTGGTTTTCTAAATAAATAAATAAATAAATAAATTATAAAGCAATCTAAAAGAAACCAATAGTTGTGATAATAAATGATGCCCAGTGTCACCTACAGGTGACACATCATATTTAGAGCGTTGTAATGAATATAGTATACATTATTTTTATTTTAAATTGCATTAATATTACAGCTAATATATTCATTTATCACGTGCAGTAAGAAAAATAACAATACTTACAATGTGGACATTTTTATCTCAGCTTATAATGCAAGAAATCACACTTACACAGAAAACTCCAAATACGCGCGAATGAATTAAATGAATTTTACAAATGACGTTTAGTTAGTGTTGAAATAAAATAAAAATTAATTAAATGACTAATTATCTTTGTAGTAATAATGGTGAGATACGAAAAAAAAAATTATCATATGTTAGAAAAAAAATGTTAAATATCTGTCACCTACAGGTGACACTGGGAATTGAAGAGTTAATGGCCACATTTCTACAGCATTCATTCTACTCTCATGCTTCTTCTGCCAGACCCAACTTTCACTACCATACATTAAAGTAGGGACTAACACAGCATTATGAATTGCCATACGTGCCTTCTTTGACACATTCTGACTCTTCATAATAGCGTGTAGAGCCCCTTTCACTCTATTTCCTGCGTTCATTCGTCGTTTTATATCCTTATCATATCTACCATCCCTGCTAAATAAACATCCCAAATATACAAACTCATCCACTTGCTCAATCAACTTCCCTTCTATTCTTATTTCACATAACGTTTTACTTTCTTCTCTCAAAAACCATCACTTTCGTCTTACTTGCCTTCACTTTCATACCCCCATTCTTTTAATGACCAGTTCATTAAAGTAACCATTATTTGCAAGTCGGCCGCCGACGACGCAAATATGACTTGATCATCGGCGTACAAAAGGCATTTGACGGTTAACTCACCCATTCTCAACCCACATTCTTCAACTTTCAAAGTTTGCAAACAAACTGTCCAGAAATAGTTTAAACAGCCACGGGGAAGCTACACAGCCCTGTCTGACACCTTTTTGAATGCCATACCAGTCTGAGACCCCCGTTGATCCTGACACAAGCACTAGAGTCCCTATAAAGAGATCTTAATGCCTGTATCAAACCAGCGCTCAACACAAATGAGTTCAGTGTTTGCCATAACACGTTCCTGTCCACTCTGTCATAAGCCTTTTCCAAGTCCATGAATGCACAAAAAACTTTCTAATTTTTGGCCAAAAATTTCTGCGCAATCATGCGCATGGAAAATACTTATTCGTACACCCCATCCCCTTTCCAAATCCAGCTTGCACATCCCAAATTTTTCCATCAGTATCTTCCATAACTCTTTCAATTAACACCTTAGCATACAGTTTACCCACAATGCTAAGCAAACTGATACCACAGTAGTTTTTACAGTCCTGCTGTGACCCCTTTCCCTTATATATAAGGACTGTAACGGCTTTGCAACAGTCTTTCGGTAACCGCTTCAGTTCCCAACATAAATTAAACAAGGTGTACAGCAGGCCTGCAACTACACCCTCTCCAGCCCTTAGCATTTCGAGTGATACTCTTATCATATCCGGCTGCGTTACCTGCTTTCATGCTTTTCATTGCTTTCATTATTTCATCTACACTTATCTCCCTACCTCTCTCCACATCTCTCGGAATTTTTATTTCACTTAATTCAGACGACTCTTCACTCTAAACACGCTTTGAAAGTATTCTTTCCGTCTCTTTAAATTCGAAACTTCATCATTCAGCATGTAATAAAAACTAATATATAATAAAGCATGTAATAAAAACTAATATAAAAACTAATAATTATAAATCAATTATGACATACATATTTCGTTTACCTAACAAATAATTTATATAAAGTATTTATTAGGTAAACATTTAAAAACTAGTTAAAGCATGTTTTGTCAGAGTACTACAAAAAGCTATTGGCTATATTTGTGTATGTATAGGTCTATTTAAAATATTCCTGAAACTGATATCGCTTTATTCGTAATTATTAATTATCGCGATATTACTTTTTACTAGAATTAAGCATAATTTTTAATGTTAATCTAAGGAATTGAAAATGAAATTATTTTTTATTATAAATATCGTTGTTTTTATATTTCAGATTGCCATTCATTACTGCATCGTAATTGGCTATCAAAGCTTTTTTTGTTTCCATATCCACCATTGAGGGACAAAGTAACTCATTTCTTCCCAGTGTCCACCAGTAGGATCCAACGGGAAAACTGGCGGATATAGCAACTTTTCCCAATATCCGACAGTGAGAATAGACGAACAAGTCCTCATATAAATTTTCTTTGCAAATTGTTTGACTATTGTGAAATTTAAAAAAAAAATAATTATGAAAGAATTCAATGAAATATCAAATTTACAATTGGTCCTATGAAATATTTATACATAGGTGGTAACATTTTTATTAATGTCAGGACCTTCAAACAATCCCGTATGCGGGATTCAAAAAGGCATGTCCATAATAATCTTACTTTAATGCAAAAAAATGTAAACTTTAGGTAAAGTTTTTTAAAGCGCCCGATTATTCGACCATGAGCTCGTCACATTCTCATACAATATTTGAAGAAATGTTTGTTTTAACAACTTACAAGTATTTCAATTTTCTAGTGTCAAATACCAAGTATTTATGATTTATAGTTTTATAATGTGAGTTAGTAATTTTTAATTGAATTTGAAAAATGTGCATGTTTTATAGGACAAGACCTGCAAATTTCGATGTTGAATGGGGCGTTGGTGATGATTCAAAACTCCTTGCTGGAATATACCAGTATGGTATGGGTTCATGGGAGGCTATCAAAATGGATTCTTCATTTGAAATTGGTGATAAAATTCTTACAAATGAAGACAAAAAACCACAAGCAAAACATTTACAATCTAGAGCTGAATATTTGCTTAAGTTAATAAAAAAATTGTTAGATCAAAAAAATGGTAAGCAGAAGCAAAGGAAACCAAGGATGAAAAAAGGAAATAAAGAGCCTGTAACAAAAGATATTGTTGAAGAAGATGTTACTTCTGGTGATGAAAACAAGAAAAACAACAAGAATGTAAAAAATGAAAAATCTGATAAGGTTTGTCTTAAAATCATATAGACTTCTCCATGCAGTGACAACTCTACAAAAGTGGTAGTTTTAGATTTCGTATCGCCATATGTGTGTGATCTCGGCATAAGAGAATCCATCCCCCAATTTTGTTCCTTTGATATCACAAGCCTTTGACAGATAAAAGTAAAACCGTTAAAAAAGGTTTTTTGGAACGAAGTTCCTTACTATCCGGTACGAATTTGGCGGATGGCGGTTAGGCGAGAAAAAATAAGATTTTTCCGTCACGACCCCCTTCTGACGTAGTGTAGACGGTCTTGGCGGCTATAAGGAAGCGAGGTGGAATAATATCCATCTCCCTCGCACTTTTTCTTATCTTGCTAGGAAATAAATATTATTTTATTTTAAATGACACTTAATTTTAATAGACGCTAGCGATTGTTAATCAATAATGGGTAAGGCTCAAATTTTTTGCGCAGTCACACACTGGAAATTACAACAGAATGTGTCAAAAAGAAAAAAACGTTGTACAACGGAATTTGTAAAGTGTAGTACACATGGGTTGTAAAATATTTTTGTACATAAACTGTTTGTTTTAATTTTATTTATAAATCAGTAATAATAATTAAGTATACTTACGTCACCACTAACGGGTAACGGCTGCCTAGAATATACCCCTTGAAATAGTGAGGGAGATCAATTACATAGTCTTAGCTCATTACGATTGCATAGTGCGAGATGGTGGACCTGATCCTGTGATCCGGGTATACCCTGGACGTAAGTACTTAATTACCTACATAATTATTGGGGTATGCTATTAAATAAAACTAATATAATATGCAAAATTCAAAAATATTTATTTAAAAAAGTCTAGATGAGATGATACAAGGTGTCAACAGTATCAAAAAATGTAATATATTAAGAGTTTTATACTCTTAAATATTTCGTCACAATCTTCAGTTAAACTGTACTCTCCTCATTTCTCAAGTGCAGTTAATTTAACTTTTTTAACTATTGAAACGTTGGTAACAATTTCAATATCTTTATTTTTCGGTATTTTTATGAATTTTATATTACGATCTTGTTCTTTAATTGTCTTTACAAAATGAACTTCATAAAAAGTGTTTGATTTCACATATTTGATTTCAGTCTTATCAATAAAGCCTACGCAATATTTCCAGCTCTTTCTTTAGTAGTATCTTACTAATATACTGTCTCTTATTTTATATAGTTCAGGCACATCTGGGTTGTTGTGTTTGTGTTTGCTGTGTTTTCACGTAGTAATTTACTACGATATTTGCGACGTTGCCTATTATCAATATTGGGTACGACTAGCTTTTCCACCTTTTCGTCTTTTTTATTGCGTTTAGCTACCCACCATTGCTTTCTCATCGCGATATTTTTTCATGTTTACTCATATTCGCTATTTTTAATTGTTTTATGCTTTGTTCTCTCAGCATTCTTCTTTTTCTGGATGGAGATTGTCTAAGGTTTTCGCGGTACCTTCGGCATCTTTCAGCCACGGACAAAGGCATCTGAAAAATATCGATTATCAAATAGATTTAAAAAAAAATTCGCAAGCATTTTAATATGATTTCATAAATTGAGTAGAAAGTTGATAGGTACACAGCTTTACGATTTCCATTGTGACACGTCACACAATTTCGTGTCATACGTCGCACAGCGGATCAAATATTCTACACAACTTAGCCTAAAAAAAATCATAATTCATGAAATTTACTATATTGCTCATTCTAATTGTTATATTTTGACAATTAAATACATGATAGATATGATTTAATCTCTTAAATTAGAAAAACCATTTCAATTTCGAAAATATAACAAAGTAAACTTACAATTTCTTAATGACACGTAGCGAGGTCCGACACGTTCATCCATCTGACGCAAAAACAAAATGGCGGAAGCCTCCAGAAGTTAGTCCAATTTCATGGACCTGTGTTGCCACTTTAAATATATGGGCAGTTCCATGGTAGAATAGAAATAAATCCCAAATCAGCGTTGCACAACTGAAGTGTCACACTGGATTGAAATTTAGGACATTTTGAAATTAATAAATATATAATCAAAACGCGTTGATAATATAATTAGCTTGTTTTAGTAAAATTAAACCTTTCATATTCTGTAGGCCATAAAATACGCAGACTAAAACAACAGCGGTTTCTCAAAAATTTCGAATAGTTTTTGAAAAGTGTACGTACACGGACATCAACAAATTGTATGGGAGGAAAATATGAACATTATTATTTTTAATTATAAAATAGGGATATTATGGAATAACATTTAAATAAAAAAACAAACACGATGAAAAATAGCTAATTTCCTTGACTTAATAATAAAAACAAAGTATTTATTATTTTTGATATTTTATTTCTTCTCTTCAATTTCTCGGACAGCGCATTTTTAGATAGTGCGCGAAAAATTTGAGCCTTACCCTATTATGTATTTGTTATTCAATAATATAATACGTTTCTCAATAATAATATACTACGAAAGGAACTTCGTTCCAACTGAGTGTTCCACGAAACTCACGAATGTTTTTTCATAGAATGAGGGTAACAAACGACCACAGTCCACCTTATGGTAAGTAGATGCTGTGGTCAAAAGGTATCTACATTTATTCTCGATTAAGACTCAAAATGCAGATGCGTCCTAAGGACTAAGATGGATTGCCTCGTTTTCAGTAAAAACGATCTCCGGTTCTCTATACTCACCATACGAAACAGCAGCATATTAAGCTGCTATTTTACGCTGGCATTCTGTGAGAGAGTGGTCCCACCCCAGTCGAGCCGACCCATTCGTGCTACAAGCATAATATAGCTGCAGCGTTGCTCTACCACGTTGAATAAATTATATTGTTTTTGTTTAAGCCAGACGTAAAATAGGTACTCAAACAATGAATAACGGAATCAGCGACGAAGTCGCGAGACGTCAAGTTTAGTAAATCCTGAATTAGAGGGGGCAGAGTTTTCACAGCTGATATAAAAGAATATAGTAGTGTACTCTTAAGTGATGTCAAAATCAAATGTAATTCCTATTTTTATTTGTTTTTGACATTACATTTATAGACATTGATTAATTAAAAAAGTTATTGTAAAACAATAATATTCTTTTGTTTTTAATTAATTAATATTGTCCAATTGTAGTTCGTTAGCTTTTATTTTACGAGCAACACTACCCGATGTTTTATCTGGCGTAGTTTAAGACTACAATTAGCAATCATCTCCACAAAATACAGGCTATGAATAAAGGTATTAAAATGTACAATTTATTATAAAATATCATGGATATTCATTATGGTAATTTATGCTTTGAAACTATATTTTTAAATCATAAAAGCTCGGTGTTCTGCTATTTTACGCTAGAAACTTTTAGCTTACATTTTTTTAAATACGTAAATAGTGAATGGTATAATCATTATTTTTATATTGTAACAAATTATATCTCTTAAATATCTCAAATGACATTTACTAACAGTAGGATTTACTTTTAAGGAATTTAAGATCCTTTCTCGGAATTTTCTGTTAAAATCTGTACTGTTAAATAATTGTACATAGCGCTACCCACTCATAATTTCGCTAATGGTTTATTATTCGGAATTACTTGTTATTAATATTTTTTTTTAAATTCAGGTTAAATCAAAATTAGAAGAAATTTCAACGCATGATGAGACTTCCAATGATAGAAAAGAAAAAGATAAGAAACGCACAAAGAAAGAGGGTAAAGACCGAACAAAAGGGGACAAAGTTAAAGGTCGCAAAAAACCTGCCGGGCCTATGCATTTTACAGCAAATAATGAGCCTAGAGCATTAGAAGTTTTAGGTGACCTTGATCCATCCGTCTTTGAAGAGGTATTGTGATAATAAATATTAAATATTGTTGTTTTTGTGCAAGTGCTATTTAATGTAATTAATATTTGGCCATATATGTTTATCTTAATAGGATTGACGGCTTTCTTTTTTAAATAAACCAACCAAGTATATATATATCCAAAATTTTATCTTACTACTTACTAGTTACTATTTTAAATACCTAATCAATAAAACCAAAACTTGAAATGTCCATGCCTCAATAATTACTAATATTGATACAAATCTTATGTTACAGTGTAAAGAAAAAATGAGGCCAGTTAAAAAAGCTCTGCGGGCACTTGATAATCCTGATCAGACTTTATCTGAAGCTGAACAAGTATCAAGAACAAGATCATGTCTATCACAAATTGGAAACCAAATAGATATATGTTTAGAAGAGTATCCAGATCCCGAAAAGAAAGTTGAGTGGAGGAGCAATCTCTGGTATTTTGTATCAAAATTCACAAATTTTGATGCGAAACAGTTATATAGGTTATATAAGTATGGTCTCAAGAAAACTGTAGATGGTCCCAAACATAAAGATGGGAAACGCAAAGAAAATGCGAAAGTACGTTATTTGTAGATATAATTCACATACATTGCATTTTTAAAAGTCACATTCAAATGTATATAAATAAAAATAAAATTCTGATAAAGTACTTTATTTTACAGGGTGCTAAGAATAATCTAAATTCAAATAATCATATAAATAAGTCATTTAAAAAAGAAAACAAGCACGACGATACAAATCATAGAAAAGAAAAAAGACCGAAAATAGACAGAGAGAAGTCGTCAGATAAAGCAAATGAGAAAAATCCACATTCATCAGGGGTAAAAAGGAAATTAGAAGAAGGTGAATGTGATCCTGAGGCTAACGAAAACAAACGACATGAGAGGTAATGTAAAATCCCTTCCAGCATTCATTCATATGCTTGCATGATCATGGAGCCTGTTAACTTTCACTAACATTTCTGCATACGCTCACCATATTGCTTCTTTCATAACAGCAGACATAAAAACAAGGATCGCAAGCATAAAGATAGGAGCCTGAAGCGTGACGATTTGATGTGCAGAGATCGAGGCAGGTCGGAGCGCGAGCGGGACCGGGACCGGGACCGAGACCGAGATCGAGAGCGGGAGCGGGACCGAGAACGTGACCGGGACCGGGAGAGAGAGAGGGACCGGGATCGCGAGCGTTCCCGGACACGACGAGACAGTGGTGGTGTGGGTCCGGGGCGAGTGCGCCCGCCGTATGCAATGTCACATCCACACCCGGATCATCAACAGCACCCTGCTTGGACTCCCCCCGCCTATCCTGGACCGCGTCAGTATCGTGGCGATCGTAACCCACGACCGCATGATAAAAGAAGGTAAGCATTTTAAATGACGAGATTTTGTAGAAGCGTGCTCGTCGCGACCCCTGCCAGCCCTTTTCAGGGCTGCAATTCTACTCAGCTGCGCACCCATGCCAACGAGGGTTAGGGCGTCCCCCCAAGGCGACGCACACCAGCTCGTCCCCGTTGGTGTGGAATGCAGCGCGCAAAGCGGCGATGGGGACCGCCACCCGTCACGCACAGCCTGACACGGCGGAAGGTGGAGGACAGAGTACAGAGTTGGCACGTGGAATGTTAGAGGAGGCATGAGGGATAAGATGAATGAGTTGATCGAAATAATGAAAGAAAGAGAATTAGATGTCGTGTGTATGTCGGAGACCAAGCGGAAAGGCAGTGGTACTGAAGAGCTCCCTGGCGGGGCGTTAGCTCTATGGTCCGGAGTCCCGGAGAGCGAGAACGCCTGCCAGGGAGTGGGGGTGCTGCTGTCTTCTCGGTTGGTCGATGTTATGACTGAATATAAGGTTGTGAACTCAAGACTTCTCTGGGTTCGCTTTAAATTGGGACTGACGAAGTTATTCCTTTTGGCTGTTTATGCGCCGGTAGCTTCGTCGTCCAGGGCTGAGCTGGAGGAGTTTTGGGAGAATGTAAGAGAAGTTCTAGATTTGGCTAGGGGAAACGAAAGAATTGTTGTATGTGGTGATTTGAATGGATGGGTTGGTACCGCTCGACCAGGGTACGAGTCGGTACTTGGAAAGTTTGGCGATAAAACGGTTAATGATGCTGGCAAGCTTATACTGGCGGTGTGCAAGGAAAAGGGTCTTCTTGTGACAAACACTATGTTTAATCACAAGAAAATCCATATGTATACTAGAGAACGAAAGAATGAGAGAAGTATGATCGATTTGTTCCTGGTGGATGACCGACTGCGAAAACAGGTGATGGATACGCGAGTGTTCAGGGGTGCTGACCTGGGAACGGATCACTATCTAGTGATTACTAGATTTAGGGGTCTGTTCGCGGGTTGGCGCTACCGGACGGCAGTAACAGAACCACAGTCGGTCTGTCGCATCCGAAGCTGGAAGCTTCAGGAAGCGGATACTAGGGACAAATATCATGCGAGGGTAGCCGAAAAGCTTGACACCATCGATGGCAGAAAAGAATGTGTAGAAAGAACTTGGCAGAACCTTAGGGATGGAATGGTAAGTGCAGCGGAAGGAGTGTGTGGAACAATAAAAAGAGGCAGTAGTAAAAGAAGAGATGCATGGTGGAATGATGAAGTGAAAGAAGCTGTAAAGAAGAAGAAGAAAGCATGGTTAGACTACTTGGCCTCTAGTAATGATAAGGATATGAGAGAGAAGATGAAAGAAAGATATAGGCTGCAGAAAGTTCACACGAAAGCACTGATTGAGGAAGTGCGTGAAAGGTGTAGAATGGAAGCGGACGAAAGGTTGTCGCACAACTTTAAGGAGAACTCCTAACTCTTCTGGAAAGAGGTTGGAAGGTCCCGAAGTGGTGCGACGGCCTTAAGAATGAACAAAGTGCTTTCGAGAACTAATGACGTCCTCTCAGAAAAATCGGACGTCATGCAGCGATGGAGCGAATTTTATAGAGAAATGTATGCGTGTGATGATCTTAGTGAGGGATCCGGGGATGACGCCGTGACTGGTACGCCAGACCCGGCCCTCGATGACACTGAGATCATCAGTATGAAAGAGATTGAACGTGCGATTCGAAGTTTGAAATGTGGTAAGGCTGCGGGACTAGACAGAGTTACTGCTGAAATGGTCAAGTATGGTGGGCCTCGCGTCTGGGACAGCTTTCATCTGCTGTGCAATTTGTGCTGGCGGACGGGGGATGTCCCGGATGATTGGCGATCCGCAGTCATTGTGCCTTTATATAAAGGTAAAGGTTCACATTTTGACTGCGGCTGCTATCGGGCGATCAGCTTGACCAGTTTAGCAAGTAAAGTTTACTCGAAGGTTTTAACACGTAGGATGCAAGAGAAATCGAAAAGATTTCTATGGGAGGCACAATGCAGATTTAGACCTGGAAGAGGATGCACGGATCAAATGTTTTCTTTCCACATGATCACGGAAAAGCTTCTGGCTGCTAACCAGAAGATTTTCTGTGCTTTTGTGGATCTTGAGAAAGCATTTGATAAGGTTGTAAGGTAGAAAATGTGGGAACTGTTGCCGGGGTATGGTGTGGATGGTCGATTGCTAAGGGCTGTGCAGTCTCTTTACTGTGACTGTAAAGCCTGTGTGCGGGTAGGGTATAACCTGTCCCCATGTTTAACGTCCAAACGGGCGTAAAGCAGGGTTGTGTCATGTCTTCCTGGCTGTTCATACTGTATCTCGACAGCTGTTTACAGAAGCTGAAAGATAGCTGTTTGGGTGTGAAATTGGGTGACATAAAAGTAAATTGTCTGCTGTATGCTGATGATGCAGTGCTTATTGCACCATCAGAGGCAGAACTGCAGGCATTAGTCACGTGTATGAAAGAGGAATGTGAAATTAAAGGTCTCCGTTTGAATGCTAATAAAACTAAGGTTCTGGTATTTGAAAGGGACGAAGAGAGAACGAAGTGTGAAATATGGGTAAATCAGGAATGTCTAGAACAGGTAAATGAAATTGTATACTTGGGGAGTGCTTTTAGCCGGGATGGAAGATGTGATTTAGATGTGGACAGGCGTGTCGCTGCCGGGAACAAAGTCAATGGTGCCCTGACTGCGTTAGTCGAAAGGCAAGGCGTAGCGAAGAGTGCACGCCTTGCAATACATAACGTAGTGTTGGTACCGACTTTGTTATATGGCAGCGAAACCTGGGTATGCCAGAAGAAGCATAAAAGTAAGTTGAATGCAGTGGAGATGCGATCTCTTCGTAAAATGTGCGGCGTTACCTTGGCCGACCGAAAGCGAAACGAAGAGATTCGCAATATGGCAGGTTTGAAAGATGACCTTATCACAAAAATTAATAAGGGCGTGCTTCGGTAGTTTGGGCACGTTGAGCGAATGAGTGAAGACCGAATGGTGAAGAAAATACATAGCGCGAAAGTTAATATTAAAAGGTGTCGAGGTAGACCGAGACTAACTTTCGAAGACCATGTGAGCAAATTGCTCGAAGAGGGTAGGGTCAAGAGTACTCGGATACCTAGACGTGCATGCATGAAGAAGATAATGAATCTGAAAGAAGCGAAAGAGGTTTGTAAGGATCGTGACACTTGGCGATCTGTTCTCTCTGGCTACCCCGTCAGGGATTGTGCGTGAAGATAAGTAAGTAAGTAAGGCATGACCCCAGCTTCATCTGGGTCTGGGTCCTGATCTAGTAATTTGGCGTTATTTAGATTAAAGATATCATTTATTTTGTAAAATATTAGTTTTATTTTTAAATATTTCAGTTTTATGGATATAATATAGACTAGATCTGTTCTGGTATTGCTCTCTTATCTATTTCTAAATTTTTATCGCAATCGGTTCAGCCATATGAAGGACAGACAGACAAAAAATGATTGTTTATGTCTTAATAGCATTATTTAATAGACTCTGTTATTTCTATATTACAGACAGACACTTCAATTTCATTTATATGTATAGATTATATATAACACATAATATCTTGTAATAATTTGATATTTTCACTATTTTTTATTTTAAACTAAAGATCCAACAGATTTAATAAGTTATTTAATATTTATCAATTCAATAAGTTCTTATTTATTTAAATGTAATTGAATGAATTACATATGTTTTGTAATTTTTTATTGTATTTTTAATTTTAAGTATTATTTTAAACTTTGTCTTACGAATTTTATGCTTAACAGCAGGTTTGGTGGTTATGCTGGAATGGGTGGTCCGTATACTGGGTACTATGAGGGTGGCGCAATGCCGAGCGGAATGGGGTTTCCTCCAGTGCGGCCATATCCGGACGATTGGCGAAGCTATCCTCAGCCTGAGTATGCTTACGATGAACGGGATTATGAACGTGAAGTCTATAGAAGGGACTATGATCGACGTGCACCCCCCACATAGTTTACTGAATTCAGCAGCGCCCATAGACGCTTTTTGTAAATACTAACTGTATAGTTCTATTGTAAATATACTGTAGAAATCTCTTTCCATGAACGCTGGTAAAACCGTAAATTCTGTAAAGTGTAAGTGACAAACTAGTGCTGTGGTTTTTATCTATGTGATAAGCAAATAGCATTGAATATAACTTCGGACATTGATCAATACATGTGACTGTGTTTTGTAAGTGAGACTGTATAGCAAATTTATTTATTTACCATGTCTGTCGATTAATTGTTAATGTACAGATTTTAGATGATTACCATTAATTTTTATATTTGTTCTAATTTCGTTGCCAATTTTACTGGTTTTAAATAGTATTTTTGATTTGCTGTAATTTGATTGTATATTTATTCATCACCTTAACTTTTAAATGTTGGGTATTTAATTTGATATAAATGCAGGTGATATAACATAAGTTATAGATAATGTACAAAAATTAGTTATTGTTAGTAGACTTGCATATACCTTAAATCATGTGCAATTAAGAACATTGTGTAAAGCTTAAAGGAAATGGGCACATAAAATTTGTCATTGCATTTTAGCAGTGAACGGGAAAGAGTGTTTGACTTTGTACTATTACTTCTCATTATGTGCATTTCTGAGTCCTAATAGGACTCACAGTCCTATTTTTATACATTATGTAAAGTCTTATTCTCTGTTACATGCAATGAGTGTAATAAGAGTGGAAGCGTCGCGATGGTGTTTACTATGAGAATAAACATTATTAAAGTTGGTTCAAGTGTATTTATTCTGTAAATCCTTAAAAACAAAGAAAATGTTAAATGTAAATTAAAATGTCTTACAAAATCATTTTAATCGTTTTTTGATAGATACCCTATATTAAAAATCATTCCTCGAAGTATATAGTAGTAGCATAGCCAAGAGGCCACGTTCTCACGGCTATACTTATCTCGTATACCGTACATTTGATTTTATCGAACACGGTAGTGGCAGTAGACTACATGTAAACTGTTCACATGGACTTTTTTTTATAGGATAAGGGTGACAAACGAGCACACACACAGTCCACCTGACATATACAGCTATCCTCGTTTGCGATTCAAAATGCAGATGTGTTGCCATCCGTGAGGACTAAGATGGAATGGCCTCATTTCTAGTAAAAAGGGCCTCCGGCCACCTGCACTCACCAAGCGAAACGCAGAGGTAAACATCTACTTCACGCTGGTATTCTGTGAGGTCGTGGTACCACCCCGGTTCGAGCCGGCCCATCCGTGCGACAGCAAAAGCTGCCGCGTGGCTCTACCACTGTTAAAATCCATACGGGAAAACGTTTTCGAGATACAATTTTTACCGTATACCGTAAACGTAGTGATTATATTCTCTTTGGTATACCGTACGAAGTTGCCTCGGAGAATGCCGCGTCTCGAGACGATTTTATTGAATACAACACGCAGTGAAGTGATCTTATATCACGCAATAATATGAATTTAAAAAAAATGCATATTAGAGTAAAACACCCAGTAGTCTGCCTTTTAGTGATGACTAAATTTTGATTCAACTGTATTTTAAATATTAAACACTGAATACAAACAATGATTATTTTCAGAAAAGATGTTATTAATTTACTAAAAAAATTAACGAAAAATATATTTATAATAGAATAGAATTATATAAAAAATCAACAGTAAACAAATTATGACACTTCAACAGTAGTCGGCCTCATTTCTCCACAATTCAGCCATGTCTAACTCTGTAGTCGGCCTCTCACTTATTCTTGGATATTTGGCGTAGAAATTATCTATACATATAATAAATCTGTACAAAAGTCGTGTCTGTAATTCTAATATATTCTTGAAAAAACAGGTCCAGGGGACTAAATAAAGGGTTCTGAACCCAAATCAGTCGTTTTTAGAATTTTTGTACGTCTGTCTGTATTCCGGATTCACGCAAAAACTACTGGACCGATTTACATGAAATTTTGTATATAGGTAGTTAGTAACTCGGGGCAACTTATAGGCTACTTTTTATCCGATTATGGAACTTCAAAAAAAGAAGGTTAAGTATTTTCCTTCCTTTAGATGTTGATTTTTTATTATATCTTAGCTATAGATGGGATGACGGGTGTTTTTCAAATAAATACCATATTTATAAATAAAGTATAAAATATAGTTATAAACTTGGTAAAATAATTTGAAATTACACCTATTTAGTTATGAAAACAGCGCTATCTATCATCAAATGGAAAAGGTAGTATAATATTTTGCCTTCAGTTAGGGTGCTTTGGGGTAACCTCGAATCTGGGGTAATTTCAGATATCAAACATTACTACAAAACAGAAAGTTATATTGTTTCCTGGCAACACTGACCTAGACGCCATGTTGATCTATTCCCGGGTTTCAGTTCGCTCTGTTCGCTCTCAGCAGGTAGGTACGTGTGTTGTGTGTGACATTTTATAAAAAAAGTGCGTTTGCGTGGATTTTGTGGAGTTTCGAACTTACCCCACATCATTTTATTAAGTGATTTGGTAAGTTAAACGATTGATTGTCTTTTTTATCAATGAATTGACGTTTTTGACGCATTTTTAGATTATCTTTATCATTATAGCTACAGTTTTAAAAATACTTACAAAATTGCCCCATAGGTAAATTTTGAAAGATTATGCTTTTGACCAGTGGTTCTCAAACTAATATTTTTTTATAAGTACTTTATTGCGCTATAATAAAAATGTAATAGAATCACAATTGAACAATTTTTGTACTTTTTTTTTTGTAAGAGTTTATTTATTATGAAACCTGATGTTAGGTACCTATGCAATTATTTTGTGAAATTAAAAATTAACAGTTAAATGTTTGCAGGAGTTAATACCTACCGACTAAAGTTTCATTTGATGCAGAGACTGGTAAGTAAATTCAAGATAATATTTTCTTATACATGTAATCGAAAGTTGGCTAGTTAAGCGACCGGGATAATAACGTAGTGAATGTGCCAATCTGCTTGTTAACAAACTGCTTTAACAATTTAGCATTTAATACATTTTTGCTAAAACTTTACAAAAGTAAAGATTAATATTAAAAATATCACAATACTATTTTAGCAAAAAAATATACATAGCTAAAAATTTTGAATTAAGGTTTTTCTACTAAGTAGGTATACAATTTGTGGTAAAGTAATAAAACTACTCTTTTGAAGTCAATTTTATTTTTTAAATTAGTATTTTGATATCAGTTATATTAAACAGATAATGTAAAAAATTTAGAAATTATGTCTGTGAAATTCAAGTGTGAAGTTCATTTACATACTAAGTATTTAATTTAATTTTTCAGAGTGATGCCTCGAAAATATATAAAAAAGAAAGTGCAAAAATATTCCCAAGAAGATGTTGAAAAAGCAGTGGAAGAAGTCAACCAGGGGATATCTTCAAATTACGGTGCTGCAAAAAAATATAGCATTCCCACAACGACTCTTTTTGATAAAGTGAAACTAAATCACATCCAAAACATTGGTAGACCACAAGCTAGGCTTAGGCTTTTCAACAAGAAGAAGAATTGGCAAATGGCCTTCGAATTATGGAGAAATGGGGGTTTGGTCTGTCTAGAAACGAAACGCTAGATGTAGTTACTGACTATGTTGCGAAAAATAACCTGAAAACTCCGTTTCATAACAACAGACCTAGCCCAGATTGGTTTCTTAATTAAAAAAAAAAGACACCGATTGTCAATTAAAAAACCTCAACCTCTTGAACATACTCGAAAAAAAATGACAGACCCATTTATTATTCATGAGTATTTTCAGCTACTAGGAAATACATTAGCCGATCTCAATTTGTTTGACCGTCCCGATTTAACTTGGAACTTGGACGAGACCTCTCTGTGTCTAGATCCTTCAAAGACGAAAGTAGTAGGTGCGGTTAACAAGCCTTGTTCAAGAGCAACATTTGGCAGTGGCAAAGAAAATATTACTGTTTTAGCGGCCGCAAATGCCGCTGGCCAAAAAATAGCACCCTTAATAGTATTTAAGGGGCAATATACAGGGTGTTTTTGGAACGCTCCCGAAAACTAAGACAGGCGACAACACCAAGTATACCTTTGATCATGGGTCACAAATAAATTCGATCTTTGAAATGAAACGATAATTTCATAAAAAATATCATGAAAATACTGAAACATAAAACCAGCAGTGGAATGACTGAATTGATATCACCTGACCTGAGCTAGATAAAGGTCAATGTAAGCGCGAACACAAATTCGCGCGGCCCGCAACTAGGCCTTCCCACAATACCTAATAATTTACAACACGTGTCTAAATACCTAACTTATCTACTTAACCTACTATTTTGCCACTGTGCTTATCTCCACGTAGCCACTTTAATCCGAATTTACAGGTTAAATAACCCAAATAACTGGTTCGATTCCCCGCTAATGAAGCAATACTTAAATGAAATGTAACCAAGGTTGGAGTCATGCGTTTTTATTCATCGTGTAGGTATGTTTATTATTCTCGTGTATTCAGTTATGTACCTATTCAGATTAGTCTAGTACCAAGTTATTTAAAAAAAATTGTTATGAAACAGCTTACTGCTCTAAATCCTCCGTGGTCTTATGAGATGCGGCTCAAATTGTGCTCCATTCATTTCAAGGCAGACTTGGGTGCAGGCGGGGCATCATCGTGTGGTCTTCGACACAGTCCGTACGTAGTTTCTCGAAAGCATCCACGATCCTTTGGCGCATTTCTTCAGCACTATCACATTCACGATTAAAAACCCTTTCTTTCACATACCCCACAAAAAGAAGTCTAACGGAGTCAGATCTGGTGAGCGAGGTGGGCAAGCGTGTGGTCCTAGTCTGTCGATCCAGCGATCATCAAATAGCTCATTGAGGCGCTCACGGACGAACCTCACGAAATGTGGAGGGGCACCATCATGTTGGAACTATGTGCGGCGATATTCAGCCAACGATAGGTCGTTTAAAATGTCAACCAACTGTTCATTTATAAAGTTTAGG